ATTAGGCTTGGCCAGTGTCCCAGCTTCCTGAACATTTCAGCTGACAAAATGTCTCAGCCCGAACACAATTCCCCCACTATGAGATCTGCGGGTTCACTAGTTAATATTGGCAACCAGCTTGGAGGTGCTCATGGAGCATAATAAATAAGCGGCTATTGAGGTGGGGGAGGTGCTTTTGCTCCTGGGTGTTAGAGAAGAAAAGATGAACATCAGCTACCAAAAGGAGCCAAATAATTGGTGAGAACAAATGTCCCTAGCTCCTGCTGAAGGCACGACAGGACTTCCAATGTGGCAGAGACGACACACCATGTTGCTGCCACATCATGTGCTAGGTTCTCAAAAATACTGTGGAAGTTCAACAATGTGGAAGAGTTTCTCTTGCTTTTCCACTCACTAGTTTTTAGTTACCCAGTCTACTAGTTGGTACAACATCAGTGATAAAATTAAGAGATTCTAGGTGAAAAAATATAAATGTCAATAAATATATGAAGATATGTTGAAACCTCAAACCAACGAAATGTAAAAATAATAGTCATAAAATATCAATTTTGCATATTGGATGAGCCAAAGTTAAAAAATCTGATAATGTTCAATGTTGGCAAGCACAGAGTAGAAAGCAAGTATTCTCAAAATAGACTGCTGGTCTGAGTATGAGTTGGTACAGCTGCAACTTTTGGAGGGCAATTTGGCATTATACTGTAATCAACATGTAAAATGTGCATCCTCTTTGGTGCACCAATGCTATTTCTAGGCTTTTAGCCTAAGAAAATAATCTGATGAAGATGGAAAAAATCCATGTACAAAGTTGTCAGAGCCAAAAAAATTAGAAATAATATAAGTGTGCAACATGGGAGACTTGCTTAATACAGCACCACTCATCCAAACACAACCTAAACCTTGAAATAGCTATGTGGCACTATAGTCACCAAAAGGAAAATATGTACATAATACATTTTTAGGTATAATGAAAAAGCCAGCTTAAAAATATATATAGATGGAATCACTCCATTTTTTTGTTAAAAATACATATTTGTGAGTATGTATATGCATTTTATAAAGAATAGATTGTGATTGATTTTATGTTGTTTTGCTCTGATGCATGGTGCAAACAAATTACATCCAAATACAATATTTGTATTGTTTTTGGACTTATATGAGGAATGAAAAGGTAGATCATGAGGAAATAACGTGTTCAGTGACGTGCTGGTAAATATTTGACTACTCACCTTCACGTAGGACAGGGCGGAAGTCCTGTTGTGGTATAATATTTACAGATTTCTGTGGCATAAATACTACCATTATTCATTTCAAGCTACTATTGTGACATTACTCACTAAGGAGTTTGGAGAGATGTACATTGCGCCATACTATGGATTAACCATTACAGAGATACCATTAACCATTCTGTGATACAGGTATAACTGCCGTAAATAATCTCGAGAGCATAGATAATTATTAAAATGTAGTAAAATAACTAGAAAGCAGTGAGCTTTCTGTGTGCTTCTTTTATAAGTCTGGAAGAAGACTCGTCAATATGATAACATCGATCATGTCTGGTGGCAAACTCATGAATCATATTCATTTCATTCTTTAGATTTATTTGTCATTTCAATATTTTTACAATAAACATGTTAACTTCATAATCAGAAAAAAATTCAAGGTTTTTCTTCTTATTTGATAAAACCCAGAAAAGAAAAAAAAATTAGGGCACATTACTTTTAAAACAATTCTTGCTGGAGCAAAACACTTCTGCACAAAGGTTCTGATTTTATCAGGCTATAACTAAAGATAATGGTGAGCAACATGGGAATCAGCTAAATCACAATGACTTTGTTCGGTCATGGTGTAAGGAAATGAGCACTCAATGTTTCTAAGTTCTTTCAAAATAGAAACATGTAACATCAAAATTGAAAGGGATCTGAGCTCCTAGGCAGTCTGATATTCTTAATTTATAATAAGGAAACTGAGTCCCAAGATAGGTGTTTTCCCAAAGTAAGCACTGCAAGGCAAGTATTAGGTAACTCAGCTCCTCTTCATTTATAAATAGTCACTATAGCTTATGAATAAAAGTATATATTCCTCTTGTCGTTATTTAATGATATGAGTTGACCTCTTTTGTGGGGTAGTATTCATTCAGTTGGTTAATTGATGACGCCCTGACTTTAGATATCAGCAGCTCACACTTCTCCAGAAGTTTAATACTTCTCAAAGGACTCTCACATAGATTATCTCAGTAGATCTTTGTAAGAGCTCTGTGAGACAGGTAGGGTAAGAAGGATCATTCCTATTTTATAGATATGAAAACTGAGGCTGGAGCAGGCTTGGGGTGGCTAGCCCAAGCCTCGTGAGAGCCAGGCCTTTGGTCTGGTCATAGCGCTCTCTGGGCATCTCCTCTTTGAAGCCTTTTTGAGGTAGTCATCTGAGTGAACCTTCTCTGGAGGTCACTTTTTCCTCCTTTCCTTCCTTGTTCTTCCAAAAAATTCATTCTTCCTTTGACTCTTGTCTTAATGTTGCACTTAAAAATACTACTTTCAGGTCATCTAGAGTTGCTCTTTAGTTCTTGTTTTGGGGTTTTTGTTTGTTTGTTTGTTTTGTTTTGTTTTGTTTTTTTATTCTAGAATGGAAAATAATCCCAGGCATCTTCAGGCCTGAGAATATTCCTGTTACTTATTTGAGGGCTAAACCCTGGAATGTTGTTTTCTCCTGAAATTTGAAGTTATTCTATAATTAGAAGGACTACTTTTGCAAAGGTCAAAGTCAGGGTATATTATAAAGCAGGAAACTATAAACACTTTGGTGTGACACATTTCTAGAGAATTTGAGCTTTCTAAAAGGGATTAATATGGAAGTCAGGAGAGACGGGCTTATTTAGGAAACACAAATCATATATAACAGAACAAATCCTGGGGAATCTAAGATCAGATGCTCTCCTTAGCCTTGTTTCGTTAAGGGAGGAAATGTGTTCTTCTGTTAAGAGTACAACGTCCTTGGGAAGAACTGAAAAAGGTATCAATGGGCTATGTTCAGGTCCAGAGACAGAAGAGCTATCAGCTTAAACTAACCTATGCGGTGCCTCAGCTCCTGAACATACTAGCTGATGCAGCCTTAGGCAAATCTTTGTACATCAATTCTCCTCATCTTTAAAGTGGGGGTCGTAGCACCTACCTCACAGATTGTGGTGAAAACTAAATTAGCTCCTGGCCAAGAAAATACTTTGTATGCTAAAAATCACTATAAGAATATGTGGAATATATATAAGATACCTTGTTAATTTTTGAAGTTAACTGCTCCGAGTGAGGGATAGAGGAGAGAGTTAAAAAGGAATGTCATGTCGGACACAGCCACCGGCAGGTGGCCAGGTTTCTCCAGGCAGTACAGGCTGGAGAGCTCAAGAGTGCATACTAATAGCTGCACCTCTGCTGAGATCACTGGCCAAATGACTCCTCACCAGAAAACATGATGTCCCTTTCCATATCAAAGGCCTTCTCCTAACTGGGCTTTCAGCTGACTACAAAACTGGCTCTGATGCATTTGATGGTGCTGTTATGAAGAGGAACTATTAGCAAAATTGCTTTGTTGAAATCTGTGGGCTGGGGAAGAGGGAGCAGTTTCCCTAAACTATGTATGTCAAGAAAATAAGTGATTCTTATTGACACTTGAAAGACGAATTGTCAAAGAGGAGGAAACAATGTACAGGAAAAGAGTGAGTGTGTTTCTAAATAAATGAGAGAGGAAAAAAAATCTCAGAGGAAGGAGCCCCTGCCTCTGGAGAAGTATTCAAAATAAGGATAAAAAATGTCAATGTTATATCAGGAGTAATGGAATACTTGCTCCCTAAAGAAAACTCTTTGGAGAAACATGGATGATATCCAACATAGAGCCAGAAAGTCATTTCTGGTGACATTCATGTAGGACGTGAAGGCAATTGTCATTTGGCAGTCAAATCTCAAAAAAGTAAGGATATAGTTAAAATGCCATCTGAATTAATGTGCCTTTTATTTCTTTAAACTTTTTCCAGCTTTGATAGTAGAAGAGATCTACTATTGAAGGTCCAAAAAATGTTGTTGCTATAGGAACAGGTAAGCAGATTAGACTTGAAAGACCAGTTCAGGAACAAAGAATTTAATAGTCAAGGCTAAAGCAATTAACCAAGAAAACATTTTAAGTAAATATCTTTTGGGTTTGTTATTTATATATTAATTCCAGGAAGATAAAATGCCATTATAAAATGAGAGCATCACATTTTAACATTTTAATTACATCATTACTGGCATAAAAGACTATGCTTACACAATTAGCAGAAAGACCTTATTAAACAGAAGTACACATTTCTAACTCTCTTTTGATTACATTGTAATTGAGAAATACAGCTTTAAAGTCAGCAAGAGCCTAAGAGTCATCTTTGATTTTCCTACAGTTTTCAAAAAGGGAACAAAGAAGACAATGAACTACTGAAAGTTTTCTGTAACCAGTCTCTCTAACTGGGAAGCTACAAAAGTAAAATTCTAGAAGTAAACAGAAATGTGTGTAGATGATAATTGTTAATATTTTATGTCTTCCCTGTTCAAGAGTTTCAATGAACAAGACAAGTGGGAAGGGAAGAAGGTCAGAGTCCCAGCTACACTCCTGCTGCACTACTGATCTGCTTCTCATATCAGGAAATACACTGCTCCTCACATTAGGGGTTTGCTGAAATTATTAGAAGTCTTGAACAGAACTTGCTATACCAATGATATTAAAAACGAATCATAAAGTGGCATTGTGCTTCTCTCCCCTTCTGATTTATTTAAAAAGAAAACATTCCTGATAAAAATGAATACAACATTTTCATTCTAGCAAATTTCTGCTGTTAGAGGTTACATTTATGGGACAGAGAGATTTCTCAGACATTACCTTTTCTCACGTAGTATCAGAGTCAAATTTGCAGAGAGGTGTGTTAGTGTGAGTGTCAGAGGCTGGGAAGCGGGAATGGGAAGAGGGGAATGTGGCTAGAATCTTACCATCTCGTTCTCTTCTCCTTCATTGAGCAAAGCGTGCTGGCCCTTCTCAAAGTGGTCCCCCATGAAAAAGTTATCCCACTTCTCCTCTCTGACCTTCTTGAACAGACACTTCCAGGACGAACTCGAACTCTCTGAGCCACTGCTGCTCTCCAGCTGACTAAAAGAGTTAATGATCCTCCAGGTTAAAATTCCTTCTTGAACACACACCTTCTCTCAGCAAATGACAATACTTAGCAAATAAAACTCCTCCCACAAGTCACCCTCTGCTAGGAGGAATTTCTGGCTGCTCCTTGCTTATTGCATTCTCTCGGAGCAGCTGTCTCAAAGGAAGCTGCTCCCATGCCGATCTTTTTGTGCCCAACTTCCAAGAAAAGAACTCATTGCCTGCCCAGTGCCTGCCAGCAGCAGACATCTGACTGCAAATCCAACAGGACAATACAAAGTTGGCAGGAGCCTTCCCAGGAGTGGGGAGCGGGTGCAAGAACTCCCACGTCACAGCTTTATTCACAGGGGCTAAGGAATTGGGGTGAACAGAAGCCAACGGAGCCACGGATTTTATTTGATTAATCAAAGTCTCAATCCATAGATTCTTAATAGTAATCTAATTCATTTGCTTACAAAGTGTACAAATTATCACTAATCCCCTTCAAAAGGTATTTGTAATCACATTTCTTTATGTGTGCAAAAACATTTTACTTAATGTGTATGTGGAATTAAGTTTACTTTTTTGAAAAAACATGTTGAAAAAGAACAAAAGTATAATCAAACTATTCTATGTAGTCTCTTTTCACTAAAATATTGGTGGTTCAAATCTTAAGAGGTCTAGAAGTAAAACATTCAAGTGGCTATATGGGAAGACTTATTTTTTTATTTATTCACACATTATTCAATAAACATTGTTTGAGTGCCGGGACTACACAAGTAAATCAAATCATATTTGCTACCTTCGTGTTGATGTAGGGATTCAAACATGCAAACAAGTATGATAGAAGGTGTTGTATTATTGTGAGATCTGGAACAGAAGTCTAAAATACTGTCCAAAGTCCCAATATGGTGTAGAAGAACACACTCCTGCTTTAGCACAGGAAAAAAAAAAAAAAACTGGATTCCAGCTGCTCGTCTGCACTGGCCTTGCTGTGTGGTCATTTAACCTACAGGAACTGGCTCTTCTCATCTGGTAACATCTGGAAGGACTGTCAAGAGAATGGAATGAAATACTCATGAAAGCACATTATATAGCACTGTTCAAATGCTGTTGGTATTACTAAACTAAATGTCCAACTTAATGGCAGGTGGTAGAACATATTGATTCAGGACATGTGCACTGAATTTGGAAGGTCTGGGGTCAAATCTGGACTTTACTAAGTGGTGGTTATGCCACATTGGGATATGACAAATTACGTAAAACGCCACAAGCCTCTATTTTCTCCTATGTAAAACAAAGATGACAAGAATAGAGCATACCTCCTAAAACTGTTTTTTGAGGAATAATGCCTGGGAAATCATAGGAATTCAATAAAGGACAGTTATTTTTACCTTTACTATGTCCATTCTGTTTCCTTTGAGCTACATTGGCATGGATATCCCCACAAGTAACACAAATAACCCTAACAAGACCAAGACCAAAGCGCGTGTATCTATGTGTGTGTGTGTTGTGTGTTAAAACTTTGAGCAAATGGTAGAGTATAAGTAAGATAAACATAAAAAAAGTAAACTAAGCAAATCCATTGTAATATTAGTTACAAAATGTATATGTATATATGTAGTTCTCTTGGTCTCAAAAAATTGTTAGCACAATTTAATCAAATAAATAAAAATAAAATTAACATTTTTATCACAAGGTCAAAATACAAGGAATATGGGGTTTCTTTCTGGGGTGATGAAAATGTTCTGGAATTTGTGGCTTCACAACTGTGTGAATATAGTAAAATACACTGAATTGTATACTTTAAAAGGGTGATTTTTATGGAATGTGAATTATATCTCAATAAAAAATTATACTTCAAAAGACTATTGAAATTTTACTAGGAGGCAGTAATTTAAATATTTAGCAGAGGAAAAAATAAAACAAGAAGATTTCAAACTTCCTCTCAACTGATGGGGTTGAGGGGTGTTATGGTATGTGAAGTGACAAAACTATGCCAGAGCTGGTGGGCCGGTGAGAGAGGAACATTTCATTCTCCTGTTTATAATGGTGATACTTACCCTGCTTCCGTCTTGCTGGGTTCCTGAATATACGTGGCAACTCACGCCCCATTGTGGAGTTAAGATGAGTATGTAACTGATCAGGAGCTAGAGAAAAAACTGCACACAAACTTACTGCATCAAACGAATCAAGTTATGCTGTTAATAATATTTAAGTCAAATTTGAACAGGAAAATTACGTAAGTCCCTAACAACATTAAAAGCTTTCGTAAAGACCAGTGTGTGTGGAAAATCATTTTCAACAACGTGGTCCGGTAGAACTGAAGACTCTCCAATAATGAAAGGGTTTCTCCAGGTCCTCGGGAGTTCTAGTGGTAAAACATCCAGGTTTTATCTATGGCAGCATGACTGACTGGCACTGTTCACCCTCAGTTAGCGCTGTTGGTCTACAAACGTGAGCGTATCCAGATACAGGGCTAGATTCTGTGAAAGAGCAAAGAGAATATTTACTGAATACTTCCATATATGAGGCACTGTTCTAAGCATTTTACACACACCGTTGCACACAAACCTTACAACAGCCTCTGTGGTCGGGACTATGCTGGTCATGTCTATTTAGCAGATAAGGAAACACAGGCGCAGAAAATAAGTACTTTGCCTAAATTCAAACAATTAATAGGTGGCAGAATGAGTATTTGGACCCAGGCAAGGTAGTTCTCCCAATCCACAATCCCAGTTAGTAGACTAACACCACCTCTACGGGTTTATTTGGTGCATCCAAAGTGTTCTGTGAGTATTGCATTTATTGACCAGCAAAGCCTCTTTGTGGAGGAAGCATTTGGGAAGGCCCTGTAAAGAGACAGAGAAGGCGACAATAGGTGGAGATGCTGGGACCCAGAGAGTGAGGTCACTGGGAAGAATATTTGAAGCAAGAGATCCATCGGAGAGAGAGATGCACACGGCCTTGTGCAGAGTAAGTCCATCACCTCCACTAATGCCAGGGGTGCGTGAAGGAGGAAGAGGGGAGTGAGATGTGGCAGGGAATACAGATCAAGGCCATCCATGGGGTCTTGAATGCCAGGCTTGAGTCTGGGCTTAATGCGATGAATGATGATAACACTGAAGGCAAACTGAGCTCCATAAATATGCCTGTTTTTCCTGATCAGCCTGTTCTCTAATACAGGAATCATCGTACATGCAGATGCTAAAGTGACTCAGTCTTTCTATGTAATATTGCATGTATATAGATAGTTTCCTTGGGCCCTCTAAGTTAAATCTTCTATTTCCCTCTGGAACATAGTTGGAAAAGTTATTCTTTAAATCAGTCTCTCTTTCCTTAATTTTGCCTGTTCAGTACTTTTATTCTACACTACGTGTGCCTCACAAGGTGATGTGGCCTAGCGAAAATGGGACGTGGATTTGGTGTGGTCTGAATTCTAATCTTGACACTTTATTAACAGATTCCATTAATTCATCCGTTTAGCATCCATTGGACTAACTTTAGTCTGTGAAAACCTATAATCGATGAAGAATAGAGATTTAATAAATGATGCCCTGCAAGAGTTAAGTCTATTAGGAAGCAAGACCAATACTGAAATAGAAATTCCAAAACACATGCTAATTACACAAGAGTGACAGAGGAACTTCAAGGAGGGAGTAAGTTCAGGAAGGCCTCACGAAGGTAGAGAGTTCTATGGCAGCCTAGACAAATGGAGACAGACAAGGAAGGCATTACTGACAAAGGAGATGGCAGCAAAGGTACCGGCAGGGGCTTGCACACAAGCCCATTCTAGGGACTATGAATTATACACATATATTGACAATGGAATTAAGAGAAACGTCTGAGAATAAAATAGTTTCAGTCATTCTCCGATTCTCTCTCTGCACTCATTTATTCTCAAATACTCTATTTCAAATATGAATGGGAAAGGGTAAAAAAAGAGAACAAATAACTAGCTACCTCCTTGCTGACCTAGTATCTCAGCTCACTTTTGTTTATCCCAGGAACATGTCTGTTCATCTGAGCAGTTCTCAACCTCTTTGAGTATCTATCATAGATGTTAACTAGAAATAATGGCAGTACAGGTTTCTCCGCCAGGACTGTGGGGATGCTGATGCTTCGCTTGCCTAGCCCATTTAGATTGTGTGAAGATAAATGGCAATAATGTTTCATCATACATTAATTTCCATCTTTCATCTGAGAACTCCACCGCATATTACAAACATTATTCCTTGCAACATCTCTATGAAGTAGGGAGGTGAATAATATTATTGGCCCCATTTGAATGTTGTAGGCACTGAGTCATAAAGAGGTCACAAAGAGCTGTTCAAGGACACGTGTCCCTAGCATGGAGTGGAACCTGAAACAAGTGCAATATTTCTGCCCACTCATCATTGGCAATTAGCTGGCTCAAGCTTCCTCTTCAGTCCTCATTACACAAATCTGGTATTTGTAAAGTACTTGATACCTTCAGTTACAAAACTTTAAAGGTTTTACTGTTACTATTAATTATCCTAATCTTCACTAATACATAGTCTGTGGACAATACAGTAGCAAGCAAAGATGTGATATCCTGAAGAGGAATCACCTGCCTCAAGGTAGTGGTATGAAGTTTAATTGAATTAATTAACATTTGTAAAACATTTAGTAACCCTTAGATTAAAGGGTCTAATACAAAGATACAGAGCCTCCCCCTTAATTACAGAAGAAAAGGGCAGGCTGATGGCTGTTCTGCTCAGAAGAATTTCTCTCAACCATCCCCGGTCAGCACTGGATTCTGACCTTCTCCTAGGTGCTTGGGGTGGTCCATTGTTCCACGTTCAGAAGAGCCCTCCTTGCTTTCTGTGATTGCCAAAAATAAAAACTAAAATCACCTCTCTGGAGGTAAGGCACCTCCTCTTCTGTGAAGCTTACCTCACTTGGCAACTATTATGACATTTCCAGGTCATTAAGGACAATCTATAAAAACAAAAACCAAAAGAGTCTCCAAGCAGAAACTTCATGCCAGTATACTTAATTTTGAAGACTTTTAAAATGAAAATCAGAATATACAAAACAATACATGTTAGGATATAACTATTAAGAATCAGAAACTGTTACAACTAGATTAGACCTTAGAAATGACTAGATTACCCCCATCATCTCTCAGGTGAAGAAAAAGTTCCAGAAAAAGTACATAATGATTTGTCCAAGATCACAATCTGTGAGAGCTTGACTCAAACCAAAGACTCGAGTCTTACA